AAATCGTTGCTTTTTTGCCTTAGTAGAGATGGGTCGTATCGCTTTTACTGAGAACCGTATCTGAATCAGATTTCGATTTCAAATATCAGATTTCGAAACTATGTATTTTAATATCTATATATTTTACGTTCGCGTATCCACCTTAAATTCATAAAAAATAAATTAAATTCATAAAAAATTGTTAAGACCAGTCCTACAAGGTCAGGCGTACATTTAAAAATTTTAAAGGTTTTTTTTAAAACGTAATACGTAATTCAATTATGTATAATTAACACCTCAGAATACGCAATCATGACAATATTTTTATATTTTGTGTAAGAAATAATACATTTAAAATTATAGTTTAGGGCGGAAGAATTTAAAATATACACACAAGACACATAATAAGCCTTGCGTCCTGACGTCCACCAAAGCAGCACAGCACTATTAAATTATATTTTTCAATTCGTTTTGTACTTTTATTTTATTTTTTTTAAAAAATGTGAATAAAATTTAACTCCTAAAATCTTCCCAAAAAATTTACCTCCTAAAATTTCCATTGTATATTTTTCTTCCTTAATTTAGGAGGAAAATTCCTAAGTTGGCAACCCTTACTATTACGTGCTTAAGTACCAATGCAGTTCAATGCACTTCAGCTCAAGGCTAAACAAAATTTAAAGACATCGTTAATACCATGATTCGTATTTAAATTAAGCAGAGTTTTTCCATGCTTTTAAGATTCAAAATTACTTAATTTATTCATTTAATCTGTTTGAAAATCTGATATTGTGCATTATTTGCCGTACCCCTCTAACTAGTGTAATATTTGTATCTCACGCGCTTTGTCGCTCGCTACGGCTCAAGCCTAAATAAAAGAATTAAAAGATATCGTAATCGTTGATACCATGCTTATTATTTAAATGAAACGGATCTTATTTGCATGAAGTTAAGATTCAAAATTACTTAACTTATTCATAAAATCTGTTTATAATTCTTCATTTATAATTCAAAATCTGATATTGTTGCCGTACTGCTCTAACTAACGTAAAATTTGTATCTCACGCGCTTTGTCTAAAAATCTGATATTGTGGCAAACGCGTATGATATCGCGATTCGTGTTGGTATAGCGAGTGAGCGAGTATTCAGTACATCAGATTTCGGAGATATTATAAAATGCATAGATATTGAACGAGCCAGTAAGCGATTTTCGGATATTGTATCAATATATAGTTTTCATATCTGTATACGATTTGTATCACCCACTTCTAGTCCTTAGCCAGCGAGAAGTCGCACCACAACTTCTTTTTTATGTGAGAAAGTGGCAAACGATCGTGCGGTTCACCTGATGTTAAGTGATGACCGCCGCCCATGGACATTTGCAACCTTTTTTTAGGGTTGCAAACGCGCTGTCACTTTTAAATAAAGTAAGCCCCGGCTACCTCACTCACCAGACGAAACGCAGAAATTATAAGATTTATACTTTACGCCAGTCTTCTGCGAGGTCGTGGTACTTACCCGGACGGACCTGCCCATTCGTGCACAGTGAACGCTGTTGCATGGTCCTACCACAGTTCTAACTAAACCTGATTCAATCTTTTTGTTGTTTCTTTTTTTTAAATCAAGGATCAAAAGAAGATTATTAGAGACTATTTTCTTGTCTAGGACGGCAAATGCAAATCGTCGCCGGCATACTTCCGAGAGGCTACCGTTTCATTATCACGACAAGTCTCAGAAATCGCCATCTTACCAGTGTTACCGTCCAACAGCAGTTGAGAGCGGTTTGAGCAGCAGCCAGCGGACAGTCAAAAGACGCTTACGAGAAGCGAACATCACTTCGAAGAGATCCGCCAGATGCCCGTTGTTGACTATAAATCGTGTGCCGAGCAATGGCGATCAATTACGTTCACTGATGCGCACAGATCTTGTTTTCATGGTAGTGGAAGGAGAACTTGGGTCTACAGGCGGCTAGGCGAACGAGTTTTGCTGAAACAGTATCCTACGGCGGTGGTTCGTGTATGATGTGGATAGGCATTTCACTAGAAGGAAAAACGGAACTAGTTTTCGTCGATGATGGAGGCCGTGGAGGCGGTCTAAATGCTGGGCGATATTATTCTGTCGTACCTTGTGGATGTTTTCTCTTTTCTTTTAATACATAAGTACCTGAAGGACCGCGCTTCGCTCGTTTTCTTTTGGTAAATCCTGTATTTTGGAAATTAAAAAAGTAAAGAAATGATCAGTGTGTAAATGATCGTGACACGAACTGCAGCCTTCTGTTTCTGGGCCGCCCGATTACCGACCGAGCTATTATAACAGTTTTTTTTGGCGTAATTTACCGTCGTATTCGAATGATATTTTTCATTCCCTGAGAACAGGGATAAAAGGACATTTTCTAAAAATGAAACCTAGCTAGATCGATTTTTCGCCCCCGACTCTACGCACGTACTAAATTTCATATTAATTTATAATATATTTCATAATAATTCATTACTAAAATTCATTTTCCGAGATTCCGATTATATATGTATATATATATATATATTTATATATATATATATATATATATATATATACATATATATATAATCGGAATCTTGGAAACGGCTACAGCGATTTTCATGAAATTTAGAGTACGTACGCGTAGAGTCGGGGGCGAAATTGTATGTATGCTAGAAAGGATATAACAATGGATACGCCAAGCATTGCTTCAAATTTATGCGGTGGTAGGGCCTCGCAGCAGCCAGCAGGCTGTTGCACGAATGGGCAGGCCCGTCCGGGTAAGTACCACGACCTCACAGAAGACCATCGTAAAGTGGAAGTACGACAAATACTTTCGCGTTTCTTCTGGTGATTTAGATGGCCGAAGCCCAATTTTTTTCAAAAGGTTGTCAACGCATCTGTAACCCTCTGGTGTGGCAGATGTCCATGGGCGATGGTATTCACTTAACATCAGGTGAACCGTCTGCTCGTTTGACACCTTTTCGAATAAAAAAAGTGCTAAAAAAATGTTCATAGAAGTCGTCGATATTTTCGTCGGTGTGGCAATCAGCCGTTTAGCTTAGTGGCTAAAGTGTCTGGGCGCGAATCCTGGAGACAAGGGTTTGATTATCACAGCGGCGAAAGACTTTTCGTTCTTTTTTCTAAAAAAGCTTAAACTTTAGGTTCCCAAATATATGTAGGATGTGGGTTTGAGTACGGAAACACTTCTTAAGTTTAATCGACTCGTTCTGCTACTTAATTAATAACTTTCCACTCTACGTCTTAGAAATTACAACTATCCACTAATATGTCGTCATCATTCTCCTCTCACCATCACAGATATTATTCTATCTTCTTAACTCGTCCAACTTTCCGGTCTACATTAAATCTGACGTTTTTATGTTATTCTATTTTAAGTTTATAGCAATTTGGTTTGCCTTAAAAAATAATCCCACATTTTTGTACATTTTGTCAGGGTCATTCGACTTAGCTGGTCGCTACTATCTATTACCCATAACGTCTAATAATATAATCCAAAGCTTTGAATTAGTTATCACCTTGCCAAAATTGTTCCAGAATTCAGAAATGCAAACAAGTGGATTCTTCTGTTCAATTCCTTTATTTATTTTTTCATTTTGTATTCTATAACATCAAAATACATACGTCCATCTGCAAAGTATAGTTATGTAAACATATGACTACGCCGATTTAATTATGGTACACAACCGTAACTTAAGCTATTTCGCTTAAATCTAACATTATATGTATTTAGTTCTTACTTACTTTATTACTGCATAACTTCAGAAATTTAAGAGAACTTATGATCTGAAATAGTAGAATATTTTTGTTCACCTTTTTACATTCACTTTATGCATTTCGTTTAATCCCTTATATTTACATGACTTATACCAACCCAAAATAACACTTAGAAATATATTCAATCCACAAAACGTCTTATAATTTGATCAAATCTTACTCATACATCGTTGTATTTGTCTAATATACATACATTTTTTTCATTAAATACAAATTTAAAGTATCATTTAATTAAAAAAGTTCCTAAATTCATGGCATATCGATCCGTATGATCCAACTCCATCGATGGAACTTAATGAGTAAGGAAATTAAAATTAAATTATGTATAAGGAATTTTTGTTTTACGTCTTTATTTAAAAACTGTATATTTCTTTTATACATAAAATAATTTACTGTTTTACAATTTTGATGCATACACGTTAAGTAAATATAATAAGAATAAGAAAAAAAAAATTTTAAGATGTACTTTGTCTAATAAACAGAAAAAATGTAGTTTAAAAAGAATTACTTATTTTAATCCTGTTTGTAAGATACATTTTAGTATCGTAAAAGAATACTTATAGAAAATAAAAAATATTAGAAGATTAAACTTAACTTAGACCTTTTTGGACCGGGGACACATTTAGATAATTGCGATTTATAAATAACGTAATGAAATTACAAAAAGAAGATGGTAATGGTACACTTGTGTTTCAGTTACCATTATTGTGCTCAATATTATTAATTTCCACAAATTATTTGCTAAAAATTATTGTAAACGCTAGTGCTTCGGTAATAAAAAGTATTTTAATTTTTATGAAATGGCAGGAAGATAAATTGACAATTCACAAACTTTTAAACATAATTATTACATTTGATTGTGTTCATGTTCATAAATCAAGTTATGGTTTTCAACCATTTATAAGCGAAAAGTCTAATTTGTGGAGACGAATAAGTGTTCTTATTATAAACACAGATTTAGTTTAGTCACCTCGATGACAATATATACTTGAAAGTGTTGTGGAGGATAAAATTAATGATAAGATTAATAAGAAGGATAAAAATAACAAGGACGAGAAATGAAAAATATAAAGTTAAAGCTATAAAAGAGAAGGATGTTCGCCGGGTACCGTTATTAATTATATAAATCGTACAGACAGAAGACGCTAGGAAATAGCTTAGTTGTGACGGTGTTGCGCTGGAACTTTGCATTGCTGCTGGATGCTCACCACTTAGGACGTGAACAATTACCGATGCAGATTCTGTAAAGTAAAACATTATAACTTGAACTTGATAATAATCCTACGAACCATGAAGATAATGCAATTTGTATACGAAACAATTGGACGGTAAAGCGCAACTTCAATCTAGCTAGAAGATTACCAACTCTTTTACAGAAGATCACTCTAATACTTTCGAATTTGGAATAAATATTATTTGTGAATATTTGTATAAAACATATTCGTGTGTTCTATACAGACAAAATCTTTCATTTTCAATAGTTCAACACTTAAAAAGTAAAAAAGTAAAGTAACAGCCTATACATGTCCCACTGCTGGGCAAAGGCCTCCTCTATACAGAGGGTATCAGGGCGTAGTCCACCACGCGGCCCCACTGCGGATTGGCGGACTTCACATATTTTCGAAATATATATTTTTTTTGTTATTATTTCGAAAATTTGCAGGTTTCCTCACGATGTTTTCCTTCACCGCGGAGCACGTGATAAGTCAGCACTTAAAGTTAAAAACTTCATTGGTGCCGGCACCGGGGATCGAACTCAGGTTGCTCGAGTATATTGAATAAAAGGCGAGCGCTCGGACACTGAGCTATCAAGGCTCTTAACACTTAACCAGTGTTAAACTATGAAAACTATCACTGCAGTGAGTACATGAGTATTATCGTTAATTAAAAGTTATATTACGTAAGATAGCGGTGTAACCAGGGCCAAAATTTCAGGATCTGCTTCTCTGCAGTGCCCATTGGTGGCAAGTCTCAGCCTTGGTTTGGTCGCTCCTGTAAGTTGGCATTACGCCGAAAGCGGGAATGCTACTAGGCTTGGGCTAACGCTTCGAAGTCTAGTGATGTAAAAACCAGCGCTTTAAAAAAGACGTATAACTCTGCCTCTAGGTCCTTCAAAAGTGTTATTGCTAAGGCGAAATCGGAACACATTGGCAGAATTGGCGAGAGATTGGCGCGTCTCCCAACGGGAACACGTGCGTTTTGGTCTCTCGCCAAAGCTGTCTTGGGAAATTTCTGTAAGCCTTCTTTTCCACCCCTGCACACGGAGGATGACTCGCTGGCCCATGCCGCGAAGGAGAAAGCCGATCTTCTGGGCTCTCTCTTCGCGTCCAACTCGACTTTGGATGACCGAGGAAAATTACCACCAACAATCCCGCGTTGCGATGCTACGATGCCGGAGGTTCAATTTCGGCAAAGTGCAGTTCGCAGAGCACTCTTTTCCTTGGACATTCATAAGTCGAGTAGGCCCGATGGTATCCCTCCGATCGTGTTGAAGACATGTGCTCCAGAGTTGGCACCGGTCTTGACGCGTCTTTTCCGGCTCTCCTATACTCTAGGCGTATTCCCGAAATCCTGGAAGGCCGCTTTAGTGCACCCGATCCCTAAGAAAGGCAACAGCTCGGATCCGTCCAACTACAGGCCTATAGCCATCACCTCCTTGTTCTCCAAGATAATGGAGACCATCATTAACTGCCAGCTCCTGCGGTACCCAGAGGAGCAACAGCTGATTAGCGACCGGCAGTACGGCTTTCGTCGAGGTCGCTCAGCCGGTGACCTTCTGGTTTACCTGACACACAGATGGGCAGAAGCAGTTGAGGGCAAGGGGGAGGGCGCTTGCAGCCAGTCTGGACGTAGCGAAAGCCTTTGATCGGGTGTGGCACAAAGCACTTCTTTCGAAGCTGCCTTCCTATGGGCTTCCCGGGAAGTTATGCAACTGGATCACCAGCTTTTTGGCAGATCGGAGCATCAAGGTCGTTGTCGACGATGCATGCTCTGATCCTAAATTTGTCAATGCTGGTGTTCCACAAGGCTGCATACTGTCCCCCACTTTGTTTCTTCTGCATATCAATGATATGTTGCAAATCAGCAGGGTTCATTGCTATGCGGATGATAGCACTGTGGATGTGTCGTACACAGGCCGTGCTAACATTTCTCGGGAAAACGTCTACGAGAGCCGGAACAAACTTGTGTCTGAAGTCGAGACTTTGTTAACAAAAGTCTCAGACTGGGGTCGACTAAATTTAGTCCAATTCAACCCCGATAAGACACAAGTTTGTGCGTTAACCGCTAAAAGTCCCCATTTGTCGTGACTCCTCATTTTGAGAACACTCCCCTGTCTGTCACAGCTAGTATCGGAATACTTGGCGTCGAAATCTCGAGCAATGTCCAGTTCCGCGGTCAATTGGAAAGTAAGGCCAAATTGGCCTCAAAGAAGCTCGGTGTGCTCAGCAAGGCGAGACAGTACTTCACGTCGGCTCAACGCCTAAACCTTTATAAGGCGCAAATTCGGCCGCACATGGAGTACTGCTCTCTCCTCTGGGCGGGAGCCCCCTGTTACCAGCTTCTTCCATTTGACCGCATCCAACGTAGGGCAGCTAAGGTTATCGACGATCAAGGTCTTTCCGATCAGGTTGATCCTTTGGCTATGCGTAGAGATGTTGGGTCACTCTGCATCTTCTACCGCATCTATCACGGGGAGTGTTCTGAGGAATTGTTTGGATTGATCCCAGCGGCTGAATTTCACCATCGGACATCGCGCCAAAACCAAAAATTACATCCACACCACCTCGATGTCCAGCGTTCCACAACAGCGCGATTTTCAAGGCATTTCCTGCCTCGCACAACCACTCTGTGGAACCAGCTGCCGCCGGCGGTCTTTCCGAACCGTTACGACCTGGGAACCTTCAAGAAGAGAGCGTACTTATTCCTAAAAGGCCGGCAACGCATTTGTAAGCCCTCGGGTGTTGCAGATGTCTATGGGCGTCGGTGATCACTTACCATCAGGTGAGCCTCCTGCTCGTTTGATGCTTTTTTCCCATAAAAAAAAAATCTGCTATTATGTACATTCCACCAATAAAAGACAACAGTACACTGAGTGTATATTATGTATTTGTCCTGGTCATGACCATATATAACTGTTCTGGCTTGAGGAAAATCAATAAATAGAGCTGGTACAATCGTTATAAATTCATTGGTTTCTTGCTTCACATTCATACTTCACAAAAAAAGAGGTTTAAGGCCAACTATTTCAAAATTATTTACAGGAAACCAGCGCAATGACAAATGAGGATGTAGTCAATATATTTCACACTTTCTTTTGTCTAAAGGCTCCCAAACGTATTATCGTTTCTCAAAATGACTCCGAATGTATTTATGCCACTCTCGGTCACGGTCGATGTACGAACATCCAATAAGGGTTTTTCCGACTTTGCCATTCTTTTTTACTTTAATTCTCTTTTATTCATAGTTTTTTATTTTTCATGTTGCAATGAAAGTGTCTCATCATGGAACTTTCTCACCTTCTCTTAAAGCATTATGGTACAAGTTTATAATTTATTACTTACATTGTCTATCCTTAGCCAACTATTTTTACGATTTCTTTCAAAACATATTATAAAGTTGGAAGCTGTAAGGAGGTTTTTGAAGTTGTACTTCTTTTGGTGCGTTTGGAAAAAGTGATGCGGGTAAAATTTTTGACGATGCGCGCGCACGCCGACAGCGACGTGATGAAGTTGGTTGCAAAGCGACCAACTGCGACTACTTTACGGTATTACCATGACAACCAATAACAACTTTTTTAAATCTACCTATAATTTCAAGTAGTTTATTTAATCGGTTATCAATTGCATTTAATGTTTTCTTCACAAAGTACTGTCACAGGGATAAAAATTTTAGTTATCTTACTTTTCTTAGGCTAAAGGACTAACTACTTACGTGCATACACACGTTTTTTTTAAATATTTATGCAATGGTTTTAATATAATTTTAGAACTCCATGTTCGTAAGTAACAGCGGGAATATAAAGATGAAGCGGAAAAGAGTCGAAAAGCTCTTACCAGAACTGCTAGGTGCACAGGTATAATTTCCAGTGTCGCGGGGAAGGGCGCGCGCTATAAGCAAACGGCTAGTTCGCGTACGTTGCTCAGTTAAAACACTTATTCCACCCCTTTGCGCGTAATTCACCACTTGGTCACCCCGATACCAATATATGAAACTGTAAACGGCAAGGGAAGGAAACAATATAAAGAACATATCAACAAATAAGGAAAAAATATTAAAACAACCGTCAACGTTAAATAAATCGTGTAGACATACCTTGGCGGATCTGGAGCGTGTTTTGTGACGCACGTAAGGTTAATATCCGATCCAGCTCGAACAAATAATTCGGGCCCCGACAAAATCTCAGCCTTAGAAACTGTTGGCAGGTAATTAATATAAATACTGTGCAGCATAACTATGCTGTATGTACGGGTGCGAGTATACATGTATGAATATGTATGGTGTAATATGACTTTTGATGAACAATATCCGACTTTCTTACTTTTAATGTATATTATAGTAGGTATTTTTAATGTATATTACAGTTTCACTGAGACGTTCAATGTCGTAGTACGGGATGAAAATATCATTGGAAGATTGCTTAGCTGACTCCCTTTTGAAACACTGGACGTAGTCCGATCCTCAATTAAGAATTGCTTTTTATAAAAAGCGCTTTATAAAATCATTGATATCATACATACATTGAATTAAGATTTACTAAATAAAACAGTAAACATTTTTCATTTCTTTCTTTTTAATTTCTCATGATTTTTTAAATTGTAACCAGGTAATTAAAAAACAAGAATTACTTTTTTATATAAAAAGCAATACATGGTTCTTCATTGCTATAGAAGCTCACCTTCATATGAAAAATTGAAAAGCTTACCAAAAAAATATGAATTAATAATACACACCTACTACGGTGAGTCGAAACGAAAGGCTTATCTTCGGCTCTGTTGAAACTTGACATTCGTATGCCCCGGAGTCACGCGGCTGTGCTGGTGACACTCGCAAGGTCCATTCATCAGAACCATCGGCATGTAGCGCGGAGAATCGGGCGTCATTGCTGAACGTGTGTACGCCAACCGTCAAAATATGTAAATCGCGCTTCCGTATCCAAGACACCTGTTTGCAGAGACGATTGGTTTATTATTTTGGACAACAACTTTGTTTTTATACATATATTACAATTTTAACTACGTACATATAATTATTTATCAATTGTATTAGTATTCATTTAAATGTACGTGTACTTTATAAATATTTTTGTGTTTAATCATTGTTATCATAATGTATATATACATTTTATATAATATATGTACCCTATATAGCTGGCACCTACACTTCTCTCTCACTAACTTTCTGGTTGGCTAGTAAAAAATGTCTTATGGCATATGCCCGCCGTTCGTACCAGTTAGTACAATAAAGTGTGCAAATAAATAAATATTTCGAGACCAAGCGTAAATTTTGAACGAATAGATTAGCAAAGTGCACTCATTAACGTATACTTACAGATCGATCAGCCAGATTCCTCACTCGGCAGTGTAGAAACGCCGGTTGGCCTACCGCGGTTGTTGTTTCACGCTTCGTGCTATTATCAAAATATGGCTGCCCCAAGGGCTCCCAACTACCGGATCGAGCTGACACACCTGTAAGATATTAAAATACATACCATTCCAATATTTATAATTATAAATAACGATATTATGTAATATTAGGTGGTAAAATACTAGGTTACTAAGCTTGACTTTGGTGTCTGGGCTCGTGGGTTCGAGTCCTGTTGGAAGTTTTTCTGGATCTGAGTGTTATTCCTACAGTAGGGTCACGTCAGGCAGGTGGATGGTTGTAAAAAAAACATAGAAAATACTATTAGCGACAACAGGGGCAGAAAAAATTAATATATCTTTAATGAAGTTTGAAAAATGATTTCGTTTTTTTTTTCTGTTTATATAGGACTAGTGACCCTCCCCGGCTTCGCACGGGTGCAATGTATTAAACATATGAACCTTCCTCTTGAATACTCTATCTAGTAAAAAAAACCGCATCAAGATCCATTGTGTAGTTTTAAAGATCTAAGCATACATACGGACAGACAGACAGCGGGACGACTTTGTTTTATACTATGTAGTGATGCACAGCAAAGAGGTCGCGAATGCCGGAGACGTGGGTTCGATTCTCACAGCGCACTGCGGTTCCCCGCCCATACTAAGGTGCGACAAAAATATAAAAAACTTTGTTTCTGCGAGTTTATGAATGAAACTAGTTAGATTAGAGATATTATAAGTTCATTGTTATAAATTATAATAAATAACAATATATTACTATACATACTTACTACATTAAAAAATGATAATTTTACAATAAAAAAATTTCAAATCAAAAATAAAATTGCGACTCAAAGTTATTCTAAATGATGTAACTTATTTAAGCATAAATTTTATATTAACTTTATATTAACAACACACAAAGGTATAAAAAACTTGAAAATAAACAATAGAAATGCTATATTGTATTTGTAACAATAATATTTTAAAAACTCAGAATTTTCAAAACACCTTTTGATTAAACAGTTTTTTTCTTTCTAAGCAATTTTCTAAGTTCTGATATGAATGGATCAGAGCTTAAAAGAAGCCTATTCAAAAGGTCCCTATTAGTTATAGTCATAGAAAACTTCCTATATATATGTAGAAAACATTAAAATGTTCAGACTTCGTCATACTAGGAAGTTTCTCGCTTTATTTCTGGCTTCTGCCGCTTCTTCAGAAAGTTGTCCACTTGGTAAAAATGCATGTTCTATTGATAGCAGACCCATGCACTAATACCTTGTGGACAGCAGCTGCTAGGTAAAACCATGCATATGCTTGGACAATTAGCCTGGCAGTTTCCATTGCAAATTCCCCAAACTTAATAGAGTTTACTTTGTAGCCAGAATTTATAACTTGTAATATTGTGGCTCAACGTTTTATTAAGAATTTATCAATTCCTGTAATTTCAGCAGAACATTCTCAAAGAACTTTCTAGCCGTATTGCCATCATTTGAAGTCCCACTTCCACCTGGTTTGGTTTTGTCTACTACCAAACCCATTTTTATCCTGAATTGGGATTAGATGGCTTTTCTCGTTTCCGCTACACTATCTTTATCAGCTTGTCTAACTTGCCACTTTTTTATATTAAGCCTATAAGAAACATGCAGAAAAAAAAAGCGCTTCGCGTATCTCTTGAAATACAAGCTCGGCCCGCTTTTTTTTCAACTTTCAAATTTCGAAGACACACATGCATGGGAATATATACTCCCAACTTAAACCTGCAATAAAAACAACATTTTTAGTAAATAAATGCAAAACGAAAGACATTCAGTGTTAATTCATGTGCGTAGCCAAGTGCTACAAAGAGATTATTTTCACGTAACACCCATATTGCTCTAAAAGGGGGAAAAACGGGGAACGAATTCAAGTGAAATCATAAAGAATGAGGTCTCACCTAACGTATATAAAAACATTTGTTACGGAAATATGGAGGAATATAAACTAAAACTCGACATGTATTAAATTAAAAATAAAAACGCTTACATAAAAAAGGTATATCACGTAGCAGTCAAATTGCATCCAAATAAACAATATAAAAATTGTAAATAAAATAAAAAAAATATGTACATACCATGTTCTTGGAAATCCATTTTGAAAGTAAATCAAATAAGTAACAGGTTTCTGGGAATCGACAAACCAAATCATGTAACAATTGCGTGAGTCCCTAGTAACGTTTTGGATTACTGTTGTTATTCACACTTTCGATGACGAAATGGTAATGAAAGCAATTAGCTAAGTTCATTTAATTTATACCATTGTTAAGTTCGGACTTTATAGTTATTATAATGATCACTACTTTCATTGAATCGCAGAGTGACCTTGGGTGATTTTTGTCGTACTAGGGAACCACAGTGCAGCGGCGACAATCTTTTCGTACATTTTCTACAAATTTTAATCTTCGCTATTCTACTAACATTTTAATAGAAATCCCATGAACACCTGGTTTTTGTATTTTAATAATAATACACAACTTAAAAAGATAAAGTTAAAATTATGTAATTAGAAAGAAGTTAAGAGATTTCTTTAATGACAAAATAAGATGATATTAGCTCAGATAATATGTTATCATGAATAAGATGATATATCAATTCACGCGCCGTGGGATAATGTACTCGTATCGCATAAAGGAAACTTATGTTCTATGATTAAATTCTTGCTATGTTAAGCGGTCTGCTACGGGAACACGTTTGGGGCCCACAACCGTTAATTCATACTTTATATGAATAAAAACGAGTTATACAGGCAGGCTTTTCTAAGTGAATCCATTTTTTTAAATTAAATTCCACACATAAATAATATTATATAAAAAATTATAAATATTTAAAATCACTCGTAATTTATTAACTACATTCATTCGAACTTTTCTCAAAAAGTGCGTGATTTATAGACAACTCATTTATTTTACGCGCGATCATTCATAACTAACAGCGTACAAGTTCGTTACAAAAGTATATGACGCATTTAAAGAATGGCTACCGCATTTTCAACAAGTTCTGTTTTTTAGGGAATAGAATGGCAATTTTTTTGGAAATAAAAAGTTTGTTTTTATTTCAGTAAGCGATTATACTATAATTTGGGCACCTTTACAAAAGCCACCCTGTTTTTGTACATTTTTTTAACTTTATTTAATTTTTCCATTAAAGAAAGTTTTTTGGAGTTTATTTTTCTGTAAATTAAGTTTTTATGGTAATATATTAAAGAAATTTGTTAAATATAACTAATAATCCTAATAAAGCATTTAATATTTTAAATCGTAAACGTACTATATTTGAACATTTCTTATAACACAGGTTATGCAATTTCCGTTGCATTTATTTTAAACCCAGCTTTTTGATTAGTTATTGCAAGTTAGTCGAAAAGAAAATAATAATTTAATGGAACTTAAAGTAAAGTAAATTTACAGCCTATTCATGTCCCTCCGATGGGCAAATGCCTTTACTTTATAAAAGGCATTAGGGCATCATAGTCCACGACGTGGCCCCATTGCGGATTGGCAGACCTCACATTTCTTTTTTTAATTTCAAAAATATCCAGATTTCTTCAGGATGTTTTCCTTCGATGCTGAAGACTTAAAATGCCAAGGCCAGATCCAACCTAAGGCCAGCACTTAAAATCAACTCAGGGATTAAAACTCGGATACACGGACCAGTCATGGGTCTTATATAAGGTCTTAACGACAACTTCACGGTATTACCAAGGAAATCTGTTTAAAGGTCTGCTTCATGTATTATTAACGAATATTCTTCGAGTAATCGATGTGAACATATAGAACCGAATATCGGGATTGAAAAGAAGAAGCATAAAACTAGAGTGAATACAGTAGTGTCAGCTGTCCTTACATATGAAATTAGCGTTGTCGCACTGACCACTTTGATATTTCCTCTTTGGTTACGAATTCCAAATTCAAATTTATAAGTTTATTAAGCCGGTATATTTGAGTTTTAAAAAAATTCATTTCTTTCTTCCTCATTTTTTATTCTTTGACATCGCTTATTACCGCACAATGGAAAACATGAAATAACGGTATATTTACGAGTACGAGTTCTACCGTGGCACCAACCCCGTGGACGGCCCGAGACCAAAGTGGAAAATGAAGAATTAAATGCTGCTGTGGAAGCGGATCCATCACAAAACATTTCAGAGATAGCTGAAGGCTTCGGGGTAAATGATAATACTGTATTAATCCACTTGAAGCAAATCGGGATAACTAAAAAAACTTGAACGATGAATTTAGTGAATCGAACTTGCCAACACGCGTCGACTGCTGTGTTACTTTGCTCAACCGCTACAATAATGAAGAGATTTTAAATCGAATCATTACTTGTGATAAAAAGTGTTAACTCTACGATAATCGGAAGCGCTCGTCGCAATGGCTGAACCCTGGAGACCCAGACAAATCCTGCCCTAAACAAAAATTGACTCAGAAAAATTTATTTGTGAGCGTTTGGTGGACTAGCGCCGGTGTCATTCACTACAGCTTTCTAAAATGTAAAAAAATGTTAAGCGCAATAAATTCCATACAATTTGTTTTACTTAACGTCTACAGCAACGACAATAGGAATAATTTAAATATATAAATAGATTTCTCTGTGATTGTGACGGCTAATCCCTAACAGGGTATCGACTGTGGCCTTATATTCAAAAAGGACCTTTAAAGAAAAGCAAAAGCTTATTCGTTCAATACTGATATTTAGAACATTATCATATCTTCCAAAATATTTATTTAAATATCCCCTTGCAAACAGTTTTGTTTCCAAACGGAATTTATAGATAAATATTATTTTAGAGGTTTTTAATAAGCATTATGTTTATCTGACTAATTCGGTCCTATTGTAACTGAGTTCTATAAACATGAATATACATATTATTTGTGAATCCTGAAGTAAATACTTCTTTTAGCGCCTTTGGTAAGAATTATAAGAGTAAAATCTTAACGACAACTTCACGGTATTACCAAGGAATTCTGTTCAAAGTTCTGCTTCATGCGTTATTAACGAATATTCTTCTGGTAATCGATGTGACCATATAGAACCGAATATCGGGATTGAAAAGAAGAAGTATAA